TGCAGGGTTTAGTAGACATTTTTAATGAAAAACAGAGAAGTGTCGTGGGAAATCTTATATTATATTAAGCGAATCAAGTGCATCTCCTCTGCCATTTCAATTCGTTGGATCTTCATTCATAGAGAGGGTAATAGCTCGACAAATTGGCTTGCCATTGCTGGGGCTACTGGCAGCGATATCATGGTGGGGACTACTCCACCTACAGCTTTGCGTACCCTGCTAATTGGGGACTTGCTAGATAGTCCGTTTGTTTGGGCTTAAGGATTGGCCATCGTGCACGGTTTTTAGTGATGTGGTTTTAATTTTTGCGTTATTGGCCATAGCAGATTTTGGCCTCTTTAAACTTTTTTTTTTCTTGTGTCGAGATATTTGTTTGGGCTGCTATATTTCTACTAAAAACGCCTACCTTCGCCACCCAATACTTTGGTTCTGGATGCCTAGTTCTCTTGTGCCAGGAAGGTATTTTATTTCCTTTGCTTTGTAGATTTGGTTAAGGGTTTTTGCAGGTTTCAACTTTTGGGGGGCTGGTTTTGTTGTCCCGGATGCGTATTGCTTCAGACTCTCGGCGCAGATCATTGAGATAGAGAGACGCTCTCTTTTGGGGTGCATGCGTAATTCGTGAATTTTTGGTCTTGGAATTTTTGCTTTTTGCTCTCTGAGGTGTAGATTGTTTTGGGGTATACTTTCTTTTATTGCCGATTGGTATACTCTTTTTCTTTTTTTTTTGGGTGAGTTGTACTGTGATAGAGGACCCTCCATGGGTACCTCCCTGTGGGTGCGAATTGTAGTTATTTTTCTTTTTTAGCTCGGGGGATCCTCTCCTAACCTTCATTTTGTACTCGTTTTTATAATTAACACGTTGAGAGCCGAAAAACGCTCTTTCCCAAAAATATATATATGTGTAGTAATTCGAGCCAAAACGAGCCGAACACAAACAAACAATTCTTTGTTCGTGTTCGGCTCGTTAACTTACCGAAAGAGCAGAACACGAGCTGTTCGAGAACAACGAGCCGTTTTGTCAGCCCTAGCTGCCAGCGAGAGAGAAAGCACGCGAGAGGAGTTAGGGTATGCATATCTTTTCTGTCGTGAGATGAGGGAGCTGTGGGAAGGAAGGAGAGGTAGCAAGACGGTTTGGCTGGAGGTGGCCGCCAGAGAAGAGTTCGCTGGAGGGAGGAGCAGTAGGAAGAGGGGAGTTCAAAGCGGATAGAGTCGAGGGCTTCGGGTTGCTGCGTATGCGGGTAAGAGAGAGTGGTAAGGTATCTTTTAATTGATTTTTATTTTTATAAAATACAAATAAAAAATAAGTGGAATCATTTGGTTGGGCAAAGTAGGCGGGAGAGGCATGGACAACATAGGGATAGGCGGTGGCTTGCAGGAAAAGTAAAGGAAGGTTTTAACAAAAAATTATTTTATTTTAATTTAAACGTCTTGATTTACGTGTAGATTATTCAAGCACAAAGACCCATCAAGATAGGTGTCCCTTCTAGGTAAATTGTACGTCTCAGACGCAATGACGCAGTCAGTATGGTGATCGGAGACCGTTTGAGCAATTTTTCGGGACTGTCGAGATAAATTGAGTCTAAATTACATATGTAGTGCTGTCAGCCTTTCGTTTTTACCGCGCTTGCTCTTTTCGATCACATAATACATCCCCTTGGAAAATTTTCATATTCCAGACACGCTGATGAAATTCGTTTTGTGATCGGAGCCTGTTTGAGCAACTTCGACGATAATCAAAATGTTTCAGGTTCAAACTAAGCACTTCATGCGACAATGTGTCTATTTCACCGTGCTTGTTTTATTCGAATATAAAAGACCCCTCTTTCGGTAAGTTTGATGTTTTTGAATGCAATGGAGGAGTCAAGCCCAATCTACTCGTCTTGTGAAATATATATGAGGCACTTAATCTTGTAAAATGGTTTCACAATTTCCTTTGACTGATAACCTTTGTAGAAAGCAAACTTTTGGAGAAAAAAAACTTCAGTTTATTATTCACATGTAGGGTGCGTATATATAGAGAAACCAATCCCTTCTAATTTACAAACTTACCAAAAATATTTACTCTAAATTAAGAAAGGAGATAATATTGAAATAAAAAAATAAAGAAGCATAAAATAGGAAGTGAATTAAACTAAGTAAAATGTTTCCAAAAATATCCCATTCAAATCATTTCATGATTTTGTGAAGGAGCCAACCGACCCACCATGGAGAGGAGCTGAACTTCTCAATTTTTCACACTCCCCCTCGAGCTGGGTCGTAGATGTTGTAAAGACCAAGTTTGGCATTGTACTCTAAGAAGGCCCTTAAAGGAGGAGCTTTGATGAAGACCTCAGCATCTTTTTGGTGTGTTAGGATATAGCTTAGCTATATAATTCCACCATTAACCTTTTCATAAATAGATTACCTATCAATTTTATTATGTTTGGTCCTGTCATGATGCACTAGATTCTTGGCAATAATGATGATAAGCTTGAATATCACAAAACATCTGTACAAACCTATTGAAGATGCATCGCACCCCAATTCCTTTAATAACTTCTGAGTCCAGATTCCTTCACAAATTTTTATGGCAAATACCATATACTCTGATTCAACACTGCTTCTGGAAACAACATCATGCCTCTTACTTCTTTATATATCATTATTTTCTCTTACAAGGAGCAATAATCTGTGATGAACCTTCTGGTTATGAGTTTTTCAACTCAACTTACATAAATGTAGGCTTCTACCCCTATGTTTTTTGTTTTCTCAAAAGTTAATCCATAATCAGTAGCTTTATTGAGAAACCTCATAATCCTATACACCATCTCTAAATGCCCTATTATTCATGTTTTGGCTAACAATGCTGACAAATTATGCACTATATGGCGTCATATGTGATAGGTAGATGAGTTTTCTTGTCAATCTTTGACAAATTCTCTTATCTACAAATACACTTTCTTCTCTCCTATTAAATTCTTGTTTTGATCCATTTGAGTATCAATAGGCTTGCATACAATCATCCCTGTCTTCTTTAATAGATCTAGGATCTATTTCCTCTGTGATATAATGATGTCTGTCTTGGACCTTGCCACCTCCATACCTCGAGAAAACCTTTTAAACTCAGTGACAAACACTGCTTTGGTCTTGAAAATCTCCCTTTCATTATCAGAATAAGAATCATATCATCCGTATATAATATCTGTTCAACATTCTTACCTCCTGGATTGTGTTTTATGAACAAAGTATGACCAACTTGACTTTGAGAATATCCATCAAATCTCACAATTTTAGCAAAAAATTCAAACCACACTCTCGGTGATGTTTAAGCTCATAGAGAGATTTTCTATGTTTGCATACTAGGTGCTTTTTGGAATTATTCTCAAGTTCTGATAGTATCTTCATATACATTTATTCCGGATCCCGGTTCAAGAAGACATTTTTTATGTTAACTTGTTGCAATCCCCATTCTTTGTTAACTTTTATTGAAATGAGAATTTTGATAGTATTTAGTTTGACAACAGGTGTGAATGTAAGGTCTCCTGATAGCCAATCCCATAGGCTTGAGTGAAATTTTTTTCAACAAGTCTAGTTTTGAACCTCTGAATACCCCCATCATCTTTGTATTTGATGTTAAACAACTATTTTCGTCCAACTAATTTATCGTGATGGAGTTTAGTAAGATTTTTTGTGCCATGATGCTGCGGTGTTGAATCTCATCTTCAACTGCTTTCCTCCATTCTAAATTTCCAAGAGCTTAATGAATGGATTTAGGAATCTGTACACTGTCAAAGTTAGAAACAAAAATTTTGTAGCATGAGAATATCTTCTCTTGAATTTGATATCTAATATGCTTTTCTTTGTCACAAACATCAGAATATGAAGGGAATAACTCATGAGTACTAGACTCCTCTTGACCAGACATTTCATGTGAATGCAGACTTGGGTTTTGTTATTTATAAAAATTCATAACTATATATATCATCTTTTGGATTAAAAAAATTGAAATATGTATTGAAGAAAATTTACTAATTTTTTCTTAAATTATCTTCTTTATTTCAATTAACAAATATTATTTAGAGTGAAACATTGGAAACCATCCATTCAACCATATAATTAACAATTTTTTTTCAAAGAAATATTAAAGTATTTTCTAAAAGTCGTAGGAGAGAGATTATTGGAACTCAAATGGCAACCTTCCTCTTAAAAAAGAGACAATAGTGATGTCCATGAGATTGTTTCTGAGAAATTGCAAAAAAAATAATGAAATACACTTCTTAGATATGTTAATTTGGTCATATAATCAAAATAATGAGATAAATTGTATCACTTGGATAAAACTGAAGATCTTTACGCGAGAAAAAAAATCAAAACTCCTTTGTTACGACTAATAATGACAGAGAGCAGGAGCAATTAATATTTGGATCTTCCTAATATGCTGCTTAATAGGTTATAAATCCTTCCTACCAATGTTTCTTTTATTACTGTTGTACTATCATTCATGTCTAAAATAATCAAGTAATTTAAAAAATTTAAATATGCAAAGTGCTAAAAAGAATGAAGATTTACGTAGGTATCACACACTACCTATGTTCCTATGTATTTACAGATATAACTCAGAAATTTTAGTTTTTACATTTATAGCACTTTACATGTGCATGAAAATGTGTATTTCACGTTTAAAAGGTGATAATAGTGATAGTTTTGATGTGATATGAAAATTTTTAGTGTAATAAATGTAAAAATCAATGTTTTGATGCTTGATATAATAGTATTATTTTTGATGTGATATGAAAAATTATTTTGTCTTAGCATCGTTTGGAAACACCTAAGCATTATGAACTGTGCTTCCAAATATTCAGAAGGAATTTATTTCATACCATCAAAGAAGAAATTCAGACAAAAAAGAAATTCATTTTATACCATCAAGGAGATTACTTAATGACATAGTCAGTTTTCTAGTAAATTTGAATTTTTTTGGGGTCATTGACAAATGAATCTCATTCTTCATTTTGGTCCAGGATGGATGTAAGACCTCTAAATGTTCGATGGAGTGAAATCTGTGATTTTGATAGAAGACTGTCTCCGCAGCAGAAAGCCTCCAATACAAATAACTCGTCAGATCATCCCGTCACTCATGAATACAGGTTGTGGAGCGGCTTCAATGATGCTAGAGAAATGGCGAGTGGAAGTAGGGAAGTAAAAGAGGATATTTTAGTTTTGGAAAGTGATATGTCATGCCGCCAGACAGTCACAAATGATACTGGATTGGATGTTTTGAGGAGCAACAATGAGTTTAAATTTGATAAAACATCTGATGTTGATTTTAACTGTAATATTAAGCGGGGAAAAGATTGGGTGGAACTTATGAAGAGCAATCCAGCCAAAAGATCTTCAAGATCCCCTAAAGATTTCTCTTTTTCATGGCATCCTGTTAGACAAGATACTCAGTGTGTTGACATAGACATAGGTTCAAAAGGTGAAGATAAATTGAAGGAGAAAGCTCAAGAAACGAAGGATTGGAAAAGTAAAACCTGGAGAGAAAGGGGTAAAGATAAAAATGACAATAGAAGCAACATGCAGGGTGCCAACAATTGCGTAAAGAGACTGATAGAAGAAAGATACGTGGATATGTGGAAAGACAATGAAGAGAAAGAGAAGAATGCTGTTAAAAAGGAGGTAGCCGATATGGCCGGCATGGAGTGTCTTCCATATGGGAGGCACATTGATGGACAGGAAGCCCTACCTTTAGAACCAAGGAAGCCAAAGGATGGCTCTATAAAAGGCTTTGATGGTGAGTTTAAGCGAAGGAAACAACAAAATAATTTACAATTTGATGTTGAGATGCGAGAAATATGTGATAGTTCTGGCAAAGAAGATGAAGATGGATCTGATGGAATTGGAGCTACAGAAAATTCCTGTTCTTTAATTACCGAATATGCTATTTTTCACATCATTATCGTTCTTGCTCATATACACATAAGGGGGTTATCTTTTCTATTCACTGTTTATAATGTTTAGAGGAAGTTCTGTTGTTAGGTAGAATGTTGGCTGGTTAACCAAGGCCCGGGCCATTGGTGTTCCTTTTCTTTTGTTCTTCCTTTTATCTTTTGTTGGTTTTTTGATAAATTTTTGGAAGATTGAAGAGACATACCTGATACCACTCAATTCCTATGTATTTCTATATCTAACACCTAAACTTCAATTTTTACATATATGCAACCTTACCTACGCATGAAAAGATGTATTTCACTTTTTTTCAAAGTTATTAGTGGTATCTTTTGATGTGATACGAAAAATTTGGGTTGTATTAATGTAAAAAATTAAAGTTTAGATATTAGATAATTAAAGTTTAGATATTAGATATTAGATATGTAAATACATATGAATTAAGCGGTATGTATGTAAATACTCCTAAATTTTTTCATAGAAGAACTGAGATATTATTGCCAGCCGGTTAGCTTCTATCAATATACTTTAAAAGTTCGATGATTTCAGCTGTTTGTCACACTTACATAAATATGTTTAACTTGAAAAGAAGTCTTCGCTAAAGGTGTGGATTGGTTGTTCTGCAAGTGTTTTGTTTGTTGTTTTGTAAGTATTAAGGAGATGCATATGCAATATAACATTTTTCCTCGCACTTCACTGCACAAATCTACGTTATTAAATGCCATTTATTCTGAAAAGCAAAACGGGACGAGCAATACCATATCCATATACTTTTTGCTTTGGAAAAAAATCCAGCTTCCCATTGTCAAGACACATAAGCAAGTGCTGTTTCAGGAAGCGCAATATTTAATAGTTCGAAGTTTTACATACATACCACTCAATTCTTATGTATTTACATATCTAATATCAAAACTTTAATTTTTAAATACATGCCACCTTACCTATGCATGAAAAGATGAATTTCAACTTTTACAAGTTAAAATTCTAATGTTTTTTATGTAATATGAAAGATTTTGGTGGTATGAGTGTAAATGGTAAAATTTTTGTGTTAGGTATGTTTATACATAGGAAGTGGGTGGTTGTGGTATGTATGTAAATGATGCGGGGCATGAGAGCTGAACCGTTCAACAGGAGGCTGGCTTCTCGCTCTTTTCATAGGGTCGGAATTATTCTCCCTCTCCTATTTTTGTTTCCCACCTATTGTATCTCTATTTATATGCGCGTTTTCTGAATTAGGTCATTGTTTTTGTGAGTTTATTTCAGATTTCTTTCCGGGACGGCAGTCAGCATCCTATTTTCGTTTCCTACCTATTGCATCACTATTTATATGCGAGTTTTTTGAACCAGGTCATTGTTTTTGTGAGTTTATTGCAGAATTCTTTTTGGGACAGCTGTCAGCATTCTCTCTTCCCTTCTAGGGCTGTATCATAGGACGAGCCACCCCACCAATCCTTCCCACTTCACCCGCACTCCACAACCGGAGGCTGCTGCTCAGCCGCAGCCTTCCTATTTCCTGTAACTCCTTGCTGCTATTTCCATCTCGCCCATAAGCTGACCGTGGTTTCCTCCTCTTCACTTGGCCTGTTGTGCTGCTAACACCCTCAGCCCCCTAACCTGCACCCTTCCTCCCATAATTACCAACAGCATCCACCCTGGTGGTGCCCTCCAACCCTCTCAAAATTGACGTCCACTCCTCCAACCATAGCAGCCAGCCCCCTGAACCCCTTCTACCTGTTTTCCCGTGCTACCACAAATTCTTTCTATCCCTCCCTTGCCCTCACAACCACCTCCACTCCGACTCCTACCAGCAGCCAGCCACCAGCCGCGTCGTCGCCTTAGGCTGTCTTTTTATATTTGTTACTCTTTGTTTTCATGTTTGAAAAAATCGTCATTGTAATGTTTCAATTTTTGTTTTGGTTTGGGTTAACTCTTGTATCAGTAAATGACCCTTAAATAGTTTTTGAAGAGGATGAAATAAGAAACATAAAAAGTGAAAAAAAAAGTAATGCTATCCTTTCCTTTGCACTTCTAGATACTGATTCTGATGAAGGTTGTTTTTCTTCTTTTCTTTGTTCTCTTTTGTGATTGTCAGGTAAAGCAGCAGTAGCTACTATTGTTTATGAACCAGGCGGGTCTAAGTTAGAGCTTTATAGATTGTGGAAAGAATTCAAATCTTCTTTGGGAAATAAGAGCGGAGATATTAAATCAGATGGGCCCATTTTGGATATTAGAGTACAACCACAACACATTAGCTCTACTAACCGGCAGGTAAGTAGGGATTTTCCTGAATGATTATATTTTTTTAATGCTACATTTACATACATACCACCGTTAGCTGTGTTTTTTTTAAAAGAATGATTTTTTATAAATATGAAAATTGTTTTAATATAAATATGTGATTTTTTTTATTTGAAAGTAATATTTTAATTTTGAAAATAGATGAGACTAAACGAGTCTCACATATTGAATAGTTTGGATGACTGAACGCGATTCGACATATAATACACTATCCTGAAGGGTAAGTATTTCACATGACAGTAGACTCAACCACCTAAACTAAAGAGTTTGTGACATTCGTTTAGTCTGCAAAACCTTTTATGTATGACCGACAAGTTTACCTATCTAATATAAGAATTAGATATAGTTTATTTTACCCGAGTTCCAAGTTTCCTATAGAGGAAGCTTCTATAGTTAATTACATCTTAAATGACCAGGGTCACTTAAAAAAATTCTCCATTAAGATCAGTGGTTCTGCCTTAAATATTTCAAAGTTTAGGTTTTCAAGATTGGTCACGGGAAAATCAAATGGGAGTGGTTTAAACAGGAACAGTTATTTTAAGGAATCCGAAGGAATGAAGAGTAGGAGATATCACAGATCCAGGGGAAATTCTGGTGATTTCCCAGCTATCCTATTGTCTGGCTTTATGTCTTTGAAATAATGTTATTCAATGTTTAATCCTGTAATTTCTTTCAGAATTTAAATTTCTTTGTAATTTCTTTCAGAATTTAGGACTTACATTCGCACGATATCTGATCGTGCAAATGACCTAGAAAGATATGGAGGATTTACAACGTACTGTTTGGTAACCTCAAAATCTTAAAAGTGTTAGGTCTTATAATTGCACAACAGAGTTGTGCAAAAGTTCTAAAGATAAGGTGAGGTTTACGTTGTGTTAAACAAACTATCCCGAAATCCTGACTTGTTATTTAATCTAAGGAAAATGCTTAGTTGACGTGAACTTGTTTTGATGTTGCAGATCCATCTCAAAGTTGCTCTTTTGTGTGTCATCGTCATGCTGCCTACGGTGTTCGCTCTAAGCTCCTCGTCGTAGTATCTTCAGATTCAATGTTAATTTTAAGGGTACATGCAATTGTTTAGTCAACGATCTGCTGCCGGACACCTCCTATGAAACCGACTACTGACCCTATAGTCTAAGGTATAGTGTATAAAAAAAACAGTAGCAGATATAAGTATAGTGACATAATTTAAGAAATGAGCTAGCATGCATTGTATCAACAAAAAAAATACAACTTGGAAAACTCAAGAAAGAGTGGCAAATGACCCACGACAAAAGAAAACTCGAGAAAATCGACAAATGACTCACGACGGAAATCTCGAAGCAAAAAAAAAAACAACAAATGGTAACCCAAAGAAAGTCACCGAAAATTCGGGAAGATCCCGGAAAAAGACCTCGAGTGTTTTACCAAAAGTTCTAATAAAATCACACAAAAAATCCGAAGAGAGAAAATCGTAAGCACTCGGGTTAGGGCTAGGCTCAGATATTATATATTTATACTCGAGGGACGTCGAAAGCTACTATCGTTACCCGGATGTATAGAGTCCGCCACTCAACTAGAAAGGGTGTCCTACTAAACATAACTTAGGAGAGTGTTTAGCCCGGTACTGGTAATCAACAAGTGGACAACCAAGTTACAATACATTTAAAATTTAGATTTTAGCATGCACATGAATTTCAGTCATACAAAAGAAAGTTGTATCAATTTTGTAGTAAAAATATTTTTATAAATATTGTATCTGTTCTTATCGTGTCGGTTCTTATCAGTTTTGAAAATTATAATTGTCCACGAGTCGATCATGTCGTCGGACGTAGGACCGCGAACAACCTAAGAAGGTATGGGTCCCCCGCTAGTCTTGTGTCGATGAATGATACTATCGTCCTACAGTTCACCAGGTCCTCAGATTTGGTTCTGATGTCGTAGGATGGAATATCATTCTTCTCTACCATCAGTGTGCCTTTGTCATCATCACCCTAAGCCCCAAAACAAAACCAACCTACTTGCGACTTTGCTTGATGGTTTCATATATAACAAAATACTATATATGCACACTTATGTATCAGACATAAGCACCGAAAACCTAAACCAAGAAGCAAGACACAAAAGAGTAAAAATGGGGGGTGAGAGAGAGGAAAGAACAATCCATTCGAAAGGTTGAAAAGGTGAAGGGTGAATTGACCCTCAAAACTGCATTTAAAACAACCTTTGAAAAGACCCAAAACAAAAAATGCGGCCCAACAATCCTTGAATTAACCCAAAAAAGGGCATCATCTCCTCCAATTCCGCAAACGGATCAACCAGAACAATATTCTTTCCTATCTATATTTCGAGCAAGTCAAAGCGGCAAAGAGACCGAACCTATGCAGTGACCACAATCATAGCCCACAAATGTAGCCCAAAAGCCCTCGAATCCGTAGCTGAAAGACTACAAAATAATTTCAAAAAGAGCAATCCAAATATCACCTGTTAAAACTAACCAATGCAGCCTCGGTACCACCAAACCATCGATTTTGTATTTAGAAGTAACCACCAAAAGAATGTTTAAAGCCTCAACTCCAACTTTCAACTTATATGTCATTTTAATATTCCATATAGAATTTCCAACAATTTTATATATAGCTTACACCCTTGCATGAAACTATGAACAAACTCTTCAAATGCCCGTAGAGTTTAAGATTTTCAAGCACATCAAAATTCACAATATTTCATAGGCTTCCAACGAAAGCTTCCCGAAAACCACCAAAGTCATAGAAATTTTGGGAAAGAAAGTTGAAATTCAGGTGTTATAAATGTGAACATATAAGAATTAGGTGGTATATATGTAAGTGCTGCAATAATCTCAAGGACAAGTGGCATGCATGTAAAGATTGAAGTTTAGGTGCTAGATATGTAAATACTAAAGAATGGGGTGGCATACATGTAAATCTGTCCCAAAATGTCTCCATAAACCGCAACTAAATATGCAGTCCAAACCGCCACTAAAACATGCCAAAATGACAGCCCAAACATCACTGAAACGGAGCAAAAAAGCAGTCCCACAACTTCATTAAAACGTGCCAAAATGACAGCCAAACGTCGCCGAAACGAGGCAAAAACTGTAGCCCCAAAACTTCATTAAAACGTGCCAAAATGACAGCCTAAACGTTGCCGAAAACGGAGAAAAAAAAGAAAAAAAACTGCAGCCCCAAAACAGGCTAAAATAGTCCCAACATCGCAGTCCCAAATGAAAAACAAAAGATTCGCAAAACCCAGCAATAAAGGGACCCAACTTAGCAATGGGCCAAAATCAAGCCACCATAAAGCAAATTCCTCAAAGCTTTGAAACCCAAAATTTGCACCCATCATATATTCCGAACAAGGGTAACAATAATGGAGAACTCAAAAATCAAGTCCCAAATCAACCTTTCATTCAACATGTGATTCGAATAAGGGAATAAAAGAACAAGACAACCAAAATAATTCTTCAACATAAAGATTTCTACCAGCATGCATTTCAAACAATGGCAGCAATAATAAGGAACCAACATCAAGCCCCAAACCAATATTCCATCTAGCATGTACTTCAAATAGGTAAATAACAACATATAGCAAAACTGAGACCTCAAAACAGGCCCCTAAGAAATCCGAAAAAATAAAACATTATGATCTTTTTCACCCAACATGCAATTCGAGCAAAGAAGACAGCCACAAAGATTCAAAACTAAGCCCCAATTCGAGAATAAATCTGAGCTCTTTTTTTTAAAAAAATAATTTTGCTGTGCAAGCCTCCCTAGCATCCTTCACATTTTCTAGAAAATGTATTTTTTGATTTGTACATCTCGCTCATATGTTCCAACTCACTAATTCTATAACCATTCTCATTCTTAACATTAAACTCAATTAGTGTTTAAAGTGACCGAAATTTCCCAATTCTAGGTGCATTAGAGAATGCATTCAGGGGCAATTCCAAGTGACGTAGATTAGAAAAAAAATTATTTTAGAAAATGCATTCAAGAGTCATTCCAAGTGACAGACTAGAAAGAGTACTTTAAAAAATGCATTCAGGGACAACTAAAAATGACGCGGATTAGAAAGATTACTCATATAGCCAGACAAGAAATCATCAGAGCAAAATCGCCTAAACACATTTTTATAAATTATGAGCACATTAAACCCAAGGCATGAAAGTAGAATAAAACAGATAATTCCTTCAAATGCTTGACAAAAGGAGGAAGAGGGTTACCTCTGATGCAGATTCACAGTAAACTCAAGAACAAGCCTAAGAAAATAAAACCAGCAACACCTCCTTTGAGAACCTTGATGCAAAAGCACAAGTCTCCTAAAAGCCTCGAGAATACAACAGCAAATGCGCATGACTAATAGAGATCCAACAATAAGCAACCAAAGATGCAACAACTCTTTCTCCTCTCTTCTCTTTCGAAATTTTCAACCTCTTCTCCTCTCTCGGGCTTTACCCAAGAGAAAACAGAACTCCAAAAATATTTCAAGCACACACACAGGATGAATCAACCGGAGAAAAAATGGCAACACCTCCCTCTCTCCAGAAATTTCGGCCAACCTCTACAACTCCCCAAGCTGGGTTTTTTTATATCCACAGGAAAAGGGGGAGGATCATACCTACCTCTGTGAAGCGGTCGAATGAGAAAGATCGCATTTAGGAAGGTGAAAATGTGGCCTCGAGAAGGAGAAGGGTCGGATAGGAGGCAACTCGCGATTGGAAAGCCGCTCGGTCGAGCGGGGTTCGAGGGGGCGAAGCGCGTTTGGGCTGTGAACGGGAGAGAAGTGTGGAAGCTAGGGCTTCGCTCGGGCGTCAGGTGCAGCAGATCGCGAGAACTAGGGCACGAGGGGGGAGCGAGCCAGGCTTCGATCGAGCCGCAATTGGGAAGAAGAGAGGTGAGGCTACGAGCCGCGGGTTAGGTGAAATGGGGTTTAAAAATAAGGATTTATTTTTATTTTTATTTTTATTTTTT